TGGGGCTGCTGCTTGTATCCTTGTGGCTGCGCCTTGTAGCCGGCGGCCGAGACGCCGGCGAGGACACCGAGGAGGAACTTCACTTGCATGGCTGTCCTTGTGTTAGAGGCACTCGAGAGACCAGAGGGAAAATCCGCAATGAGACCTTCGACGTCGGGCTTGGCGCCGCTGGGTGTTTCGTTGTCGAAAGATTGGTGGCCAATCACACGTCGCCGAAAAATTGGCAGCCAATCCACGACGAGTGAGAGCAGTTTCCCGCACCCTTTGGGCATGGATCGCCCGGCAGCCAATAAGCGCGCGGCGTGACGCTTCGGCACCAATCACAACGCTCGTGACTGGAAGGTTTGGCGCCGGGAGAAAGGCAGCAACCGACGCTGGCTGCAACTGCTCGCAAGTTGCACGAAGGACCCCCAGGCTTCGCCAGTCCCTTCTAGTTAGTACAGCTGCACAGGTCCTATAGCTCTACGAGGGTCAAGTCTTGGCAGAACGACGTGTGTTTTACTTCTTCCGTGTGCGCCGGGCTTTTGCACACTGTACAGTCAGTACTGATAGTAGATCCTGCAGAGCCACCTCAATAACTCTCCTACAGCTATGAAATCTTAGTTGTCGCTTTACGATGAAACTCTCCTACAGCTATGAAATCTTAGTTGTCGCTTTACGATGACGAGCACGACGCGGTCGGGTTGGTAGCTTGAGTTTTTACCATGCGATGCGATGGTCGATCGTCGCATCCGGACAATCCAGTGATGAGTCCGGATAACACTGCTCGATGGCGAAGAGCACGAAGCGACCGCGCGAGTCGGCGCCCAAGAGCCGTGGCGGCAGCGACTTTGTGGTGGTGAACCCGTCCTTGCTGCGCGGAACAGAGGCGTACGGATACAAGATCGGTGCACGCCGCCTCATCTCTGTATTAGGCCTGCGCCCAAGAAGGCCAAGAAGGACACCACCAAGAAAGAGTCAAAGCCCGATGTGAAGAAGCCGAAGTCAAAGTCTACCGAGAGCAAACCCACCAAGGACGCGCCAAAGGCAAAGCCCAGTGGCGTGTATCATTGCGACGTCTGCGATTTGGACGTGACGATGGGCGCCAAGGCCATGCATGAGCAAGGCAAGAAGCACAAGCGGGCTCTGGTGTCGAGTGGCCCCGTCACGACGCCGTCTGACAACGCCGACGCGCCCGCCGATGGAGCAAAGGTTGCTGCCGCGTCGTCTGCCAAGGTGGACGTGGCCAAGGTTGCTCCTGCGCCGACGTCGGTGCAGTATGTGCACGCCTCCCGCCCCGAGGACTTTGTCGGGGCCGTGTACGCGCTCCTCGACATGCATAACCTGCGCCGTGCGCTTGTCGTTGTGCCCAACAAGGGCCACGCGCTCTTGCAGCCGCAGTTGGTCGCTGGAGCGCTCAAGCACCTTGGGTTTACGGCCCTCGCGGTCCACGCCAAGACGCCGGCCACGCAGCGCCAGCAGACGCTCGAGAAGTTCCGGTCGTCGTCGTCGATAGTCCTTGTAGCCACCGAGCACTTGGCTAAAGGCCTTGCGTCACCAAGTGCCGTGTACGTCAACTGTACACCGAGCAAACCGAGTGGCGTTCTCTACGTTGTGCTGGAGAAGGACGCGGCACCAGCCAGCGACTGGGCGCCTGTCACGCCGTGGAACAAACTCGCGCTGCAAAAAGCGTCTTCGCGCGCCGCGATGGCCAAGACCATCCATGAGCTCACCACCCAGGACGTCGACAATGAAGCGCAATGGATCCAGAAGCTCGCGTCTGCGTCCGGGCTCGACGCCGACGAGATGCCCAAGGCCAAACCGTCGGCCAACCGCCAAAAGCTGGCTGCAGTTGCTGAGAAACTCTTCCTCCACATGGGCTATCCGCTCACGTACTCGGGTCCTATCGACGTCGCAGGCATGAAGGCCAAGATGACTGCTGTCGGGCTCCATGTGCAGTCGGCAGCCACGGGCATGTCGCTGCACGCAACCCGGCTCTCGGCGCAGACGCAGTGGCTCGACGCTGCGTCGGGCGGCGCCTTTGGCGGCGAGTGGGACGGGTCGGTGCGGCACGGCGCGTCGAAAGACAGCACGTCGCTCCAAGTCCGCGCCGAATTTTGTGCCCAAAAGTCCACGTGGCAGCCCAACCCCAAGCCGGCCGACGCTGCCGAGTGGGGCGGACCCTACGGCAAACCCTGCGGCCACAACGAGGTACTGCATTCCTATGCCATCCCGGATGTCGAGCTGTAATTATTCTAGGTGGTTATGCACCGGCTGCGTCCATTCTTCCCGCAAGAAGTGTTGAACGCGCGCATTTGCAGCCG